CAACCTAAAACAATTTCTTTTATTAACTCATTAAATATTTAATTTTATAAGAGATAAGAACTATTTAGTTTATGTTAATTGCTAATAAAAATTCGTGTTTCAAAGTAAACATAACCTTATCAGATTGATATGTACCTCTTCTAGATCAATATAAGAACCAACACCTTCTGGAAACATTTCATCTGCCACGAGAGTAGGTTTCATCTTGTTGCAAATTTGAATTAAACAAACTCTCCAAATGTTTTTCCAATATTTTGTAAGATTGATGCTGTTTTTCACACACTCGCGTATCAACAACCTATAATACAACACAATGATCTGTCATCTAAACAATTCGAAAACTTTTATTAGCGCCACCTAGTGAACGTGAGTGAATTAATGTAACCGGGTATTTTAAGAGAACAGCTTTTTAAAATTTAAACTAGTTGAAAGTTATGCATTCATAATTTTTTTCTTTTTTTCGTTATCATAAAACAATTACTTTTTTAAAATCATTAAAGAAATTAAAAAAAATTTTAACGAAAGGGACATTTCTTCAACCGTATGTTCACAAAAAGGATCAAAAGGATCAAATACGATGAAATTCAACAATCTTTATCTCTTTTTTTTAAAAAACTGTAATTATTATTAATCGTAATAATATGATTATTGACAATGACGCGGCTATGTGCACATTAAAACACCTTAATCCGTATCTTACAAGACCAGCTTTTCTTTTACATTATATACAGTAGCTAAATATTGTATTATTTCACTTTGAAATATAATAAAACTATTTATATATTTATATATGCACGTATGTGTTCTGAATCGTTGTAAGTATCCGCATTTTATCTTGCATGTGGAGACGTACAACGAAAATATGAGAAATTCATCGTTATCGGGTTTTTTTTCTTTTCTATGCTTAGCGTAAGTAAGAAACGATTCGAAATTAAACGATTCCACTTGGCTCTCCTTTTCTCTGTACAACGCAATAGGCTCCGCTAAGGCTCCGCTTATCGCCGACGAGTTTTCTTTTCTCCGGCTTCCAGGGCGTACAACGTTATTCCTCCTCTCAGAATTCAGGATTCTAACTAATTTAATATTAACATCTCATTCGACCCTAGAACCAGTCGATTCGATTACTCTAAACAATTAAAATCACGATTTTTTTTTCTGATTCTTGCGATTATATATTATTTACAAATTTTTTAAGATTGAACTTTAGTCTTTCGTCGAGCTCGCATGTTCAATTGCATTAACTGTAACTTTCTACATCCTATGTAAAATCAATCATACAAATAACAAAAAAATATACATATCAAAAATTGAAAACAAAAAAGATCTCGTAGTTTTTGAGCGAAATAATCGTGTACTTCTGCTTCGTGACAGCACTGATTAATAGAACGAACTACATGATTTCTTTGTACCCCATTCGTTTGCATAAATTATAGAATATAATATTGTATTATGTGGCTTAAGTAAAGAGATTCTTGAGCTAAAGGTAAGGCAATTTCAAATGTTTTCGCAGCTGTGTGAATGATACACGTACAAGAGAGATATTCGTCGAATATACAGAGTCTAGGTATTTGTAGCATATTGCACCGTCAATTTCCATATAATTTATTTTTGTTCATAAAATACGCTAATTAGACCAAAATCTTTTTATGCATCGAATATCATAAAAAGTTGTCATTGGTTATTCGAAATCAATATCGTTACGTATGAAAGGAGAAAAAAAAAAAAAGGAAAACATTTATAAAATATTTTGCGTTTGCACGTTTTCATGGATCACAATTCCATTGTCACGAAGACGATTTCATTAAATGAAATCCTTCTTAAAATCGATAAATAGTAAGCAACAAGCTTTAAAAGTGACACGCGAGTCACGACAATTATTTGGAAACGTTCAGAGAACGTTTGGTTTTCTTTTTTTCTTCTTTTTTTTGTTAATTCTTTTACAGATGTTTTGTTTAGTCGTACAAAATCGTATCAAAAGTCGTACAAAAATCTCGTACAGGGGTACAACATCGTACAAGTACTGTATGCTAGAGCTCTTAGGTTCTTCGACATTGTTCGTCAATAATTTAAAAAAAAAAAATACTTAGTAAAGAATAATTAAAAATATTAAAAATCATCGTACTGTTAGCTCAGGGATCTCTTGTGCATTGGATACGCTACATTCTAAAAGGGACACTCTGTACGCGTAAAAAAAAAACAATGTTAAAGAACAGAAAATATTAAAAACATATGACACTACCTTTCTATGAAGAGCATTTCGCATTTCGAAAAGTAGCATACGATACTCGATTTTGATGCGATTCCGAGTTGAAGTTTGGTGAACAGTAACAAAAATTCTTGCATTTAAAAAAAAAAAGAGCAATAAGTACAGAAAAGCGGACGTAAGGAAATTTGACTGACTGGATCTAGGGTCAAAGTACACCGGTCCGCGCAGAGAAATTCCGTACCCCGGATTCCGAGCGAAGAAGTTACGTTTTCTCCACACAAGAAGGAAAATTTTTCCTCTATCACTGGCGCTATGGCGGATGTCCAACGAGGACAAACACATTTCAAACGCACAACACATTCCGAATATGGATATGGACGATTATTTTCAATTACTATTTCTCGTATAGTCCTTTTCTAACGAACGCCCATAAGTGAACGCCTTTTTATCCATCGCTAAATTACGCAGCCGTCCCGAAGACGAAAAGTTCTACGTCCCGCAATTCGATGAAGAGAAAATGGGATTGCTCGGTGTCAAAGTAAAAACGTAAAAACCAGAGGGAGCGAGAACGAATTAACTATCATATTATAAACTATTCTATCGTATAAAAAAACGTACTTCAATTCTGTATAGAACTTATTTACACTAAATAAAGAATAAATTATTAACATTGTACTCGGGTCGACAGTTCTTACGAATTTGCTTTGATAAGAAAAAAAAAAAAAATGATATCGTTACGTACGTGTACTAAGTGCGAATAGAATATTTCTAACAACGGGCACTCCGTGGCTCGTGTAACGAAGACAACTGCGTAATTGTGGACGAATTGAATTATTGCGATAGACTATACGGTTAATTGATCTAATTCATCGAAGAAGAAGCTGCTGCTGTGCAGCAGGATTGTCCTCGTATATAACTCAGTAAATTACACTTTTTTTTTTCTCTCTCGGATTTCTCCGCTTGAACATCTACTACTTCTTTTACTGGTATTTTTTTTCTGCTTTTTATATTCTATGTCTATCATAATGTCAACCAACGGCCTCGTTTAGGGGAGGAGGAAACACTCGAGCGATCCAGCGGTTGTAGGGGATACCGAACGTTTCTGCGCGGCCCAGGATTAATTTGCCTGGAAGATCGGACCGCGTGGTAAAACACAGCCATCACGTAAGCTTCGCACTGATTACAAAATCTCACACGCACCTTCTTCTCATTCATACATTCTCTCTTTCACACAGTCTCTCTCTCTCTCTTTCTCTCTCTCTCTCTCTCTCTCTCTTTCACACAGTCTCTCTCTCTCCCTCTCTCTCATACACGCTCATCTTCTCGTCGCACACATTCTTTCTCTTCGACTTAAACTAAATACAATAGTAGATTACAAGTATGTACAATTAACTAGTTCTTACTGCGAAGTTGGTGACGAGGCCGTATACGAAGTAATCTCAAGAATCTTTCTTCTCGTCTTTTTTTTTTATCGTCTCTTTATCGTTTCTCACGTTACTTTTTCACGTACACGCACAATATACACACGCATAATCACGCACCCATACATCCATACACAGTCTCCTTTTCAGAATTTGTAAACGAGGCAAAATGTTTCTTCTTTACAACATCAGCATCTCGAGTTCACAGTAGATTCCATGGAGATCTTCGCCAACGGCCTCGACTGTTCATCAATCTGCTTTCTTTTAACATTTCATTTTCTTTTTTCTTTTTTTTTTTTTTTTTCAAGGAAAAACATAGACATCTCGTCGCCGCCGCGAAATGGCACGCCCGTATTCGTCTCTCGAGTATTGTGTGTTTAAGAATAAAACCGGATTTTGTTTTGTTTTCTCGAGGAGCATAGGATCTTCTCATTTAACGTTGGAGAACGTCCGTTGAAGCGAGTCCGAAACGAGTATATCTGAGAAGTCGCGACCACCTTGTCCCTCTCTCGCCGAAATGAGCGTTTTCGTTTTGTGTTTCTGTTGCCGTGAAAAGGTGAAGTTCATAAAAGAAATTCGTTAATAATATGAACAAAGAATAATCATTGTATATACATAAAAGTAATAATAACGATAATAGTAGTAATAGTAGTAGTAATTATAGTAGTAATAAAAATAAAAAAAAAAAGATCTGTAAATATTATCAACAGCGTAGTGCAAGCAGTTCTTACGTACAACTTTGTAAAGTCTTGCACGAAATCGTAAAAATGTCGTATCAAAAGCTGTATCATATCATGGGCTTAATGGGTACAGTCGATAAAGTTCACGATACTTTTTTTTTTATACCCAAAATCAAGTTCATATTCTCGAACCTACATGGAATTATCTGGAAAACAAAAATTTTCAATTACCAATCACTTTGATTACTGCCACTAATCTACGATTGAAGTAAAAAATTAAAATTAGTGATATTTTATGAAAATTTTCGGACTGATTTAAAGAAGCATTCACCAAGAATTTTATGTATCCTACGTCGTCTAACGTATATTAATCGAAAGCCTCGGTATTTTTCCTTAATAAGCAATTGTCCTCCCACTAAGCCAACATTGATACGTTGCAACAAATATGGTAAAATTGTCTTGTAAGAATATGCAGTACCTCGATCTTCTTCGACCGTATCTTGGCGGAACGGCTTTTCACCTTATCACGGCAACGTGCTTTTCACAGCTAGCAACCGCAAGCATTGTATCGAGTCCGTTTTCTCTATCGATCGCAAAATCGTACAAGCACCGTGTGTGTTTGTGTTGTATGTGTGTGTGTGTCCTCTGCTCCGTTACTCCACGAGTATCATTAATTATCACCTAACTTGGCATCCCTGCGGTATACTTGTCGCGGCAGGACACGCGGAGGAGTCTCTTTGCACGGAACTATTGTTCTCCTCCTCCTCTTCTTCTTCCTCCTCCCTGGAGGACTCTTCTTCTTGGCCCTTGACCGGTGGATTTCTCGTCTCCTCGTTCGAGACCTCAGGACTCCGCGGTTTCTCCGTCGTTAAAACGGACTCCTCACCATGGACCGGCGGGCCCTTCAGCTCATAACCCTCTTGGCAACGTGTCAATTTTAACCTAATCGGCGTCACCTTCGCCGAACGAACGTTTCTCGGCGCGCTGCCGCCAGTGTCCGGGTCGGTAGGCTGTTTTTCTTCAATGTTCGCAGATACTGCTGGGTAGACAGGCTCATCCTTGGCCGGTTCCGGAGGTGGAGGACCTACTCTACTGTCAGTCGGATGTCGTTCCTCCTCCTCCTCCTCTTCTTCCTCATCCGTGAGCAAGATTGGTAGATCGTCAGGTGAGTCGTTACCTTTACCAAGCCTGATGATCAATTTCGGTGGAGCAGCTCCACCTTCAAGAATTCTCACCCTTGCTTCCTTTCTACTCGATTGCCGTTTCTTTCGTTTACCATTCTTATCCTTCTTACTCTTTCCACGTAATTTCTCGTCGTTATCGAAACCGGCCATAATCATACGTCTGAATTTCATACTCTCTCTCTTCAATTCCTCGATACTCGGTGTACTGCTAGGAATACTGCTCAACCGTTTCTTCGGCGGTCTGATCCTCGTTCTATCATCCTGACCGCTCTCTTGCCCACCGATTATACTATTACCAATCTTGATCTTCAGCTTAGGTGGACCACTGTTCGTGGTGGTGGTCGTGGTCGTGGTGGTAGTTGATCTACCGCCACTGCTCTGCCTTCCTCTCCTGCGATCAGCGTTTCCAACAGGAGCGCTACCACTGGAACTGGCACCGTTAGTAGCACTGCCTCGCCTCCTCTCTACGCTTCCCTCCTCCTCGTTCGCATCCAGGAATCCCGCAGGTCTCTCTTTTCTCCTCTTCTTCTCCATATTCGCGTCGACGACCGCTTTGTAATCTTCTCTGGTAGGTATGCTGGTCATCGAGGCGACCGCCTTAGGTATCGTGATCACTGTGCGATTGATCGGTGGCATGATGATCGGCGCGGACGTGGCGAGATTCCCGCAGCCTGGCTCGTCCATATTCATGTCTTGAGAACAGTATTGTCTGAGCAATTCCTTCTTACGCATTCGTCGGAGATTAGAGGTTCCTGAAGCGGCGGAAGCACTGGTAGCAGCTGGAGCAATTATTACAGGCGCCTGTTGAGCTAAAGGTGGTACCGACGAGGCAGGAACATAGTTCGCGTCAAGGAAGGGACCTTTGATCTTGACCTTCAGCTGGTTCCTCGAGTCTGTCAAAGAAACCTTGTTGGCGTCGACGAAGCCAGAGGACGAGGCGTCGATGCTCGCGTCGAAACTCGGCTTCGAACAATCTTCCTGACCTTGCTTCCCAATCAGCGCGGATCTTAACTCTTTCTCGAGATCTTCCTCGATATCCGGAAGAGCAGGATCGTTCGCCGAGACACCGGTAAACGTGCCCAGGAAATGATTCTCGTATGTCTGACCGTGTAACGTGGAAGAACTTGAGGCGTCCAGGGTGGAATTGTACGTTCTCATGTCGACAGGGCCGGGTATAAGTGGTAGGACGGTATCGAAGCTTTGTCCAGCGTTCGACTGGCTTTCCACGACAGTTGAATCATCGTGACCCGGAGAACACGAGAGTCTCCTGTCTTCCAGATACTTTCTAGTGCCTCCGGGACTGGACAGTCTCGACTGAATACTCTCCCCGGAAGCAACCACGGCTGAGTCTCTCCTCTCGACACCAGCCGCCGCAGCATCCGTCGACTTCTTCCGTTCTCTCATGGTACGCAAGTCAGCGATGTTCGCCTCGCTGGTGGAGTCTTCGTCGGAGTCGAAGTCGTATACCGTGCCGACTAGCTTATTCTGTATCGAGTCGTCGTGCTGACCAACACCCGTTCCCGAGACCAAGGATAATCCTGCATTTTGTCCGCTTCTACCTCGCCCTCTGCCCCTTCCACGACCACGTCCTCTGTGTCCAGAGTGTTGCGCCGAGTTCTTCGCTCCTCTGCCACGACCTCGTGTCCCAGACACGCTCTTCTGCGTTTCCTGCCTCGGGGACTTTCCCGGAGACTTGCCTTGCAACGACGTCACGCGAGCAGAGGTTCTAGTCGGTTTAGAAGGTGACTTCTTCCCGAAGTGCTGGCTCTTGCCATCGGCGAGGACTTCCTGAAGGCTCTCGACAACGGTTTCACTGGTATGACTCTCCGGTGCTACGGTGTTCAAGAAGTTTATAGGTATAGAAGGTGAATCGGCGACCTGAGTTTGTAGTTGCTGTTGCGTCCTTTCTATGGATTCTGCAGGTGGAGCGGCGACTTGTGGTGGCGGCGGAGGTGGTGGCGGAGGTGGAGTGACTATTTTAGTAGGCGAGACCATGGCCGCGGTGAGAGCCATGTTGTGCGAGGAAGACGTGAACGCGGCGGTACACGGCGAAGCTTGTAGATTTAACGAGTCTTCGAGTGGTTTCACGTGCGGCAATAATGATTGCGCGCCCGGAAAAGCTGCTCCAAATGCTGGTGGAAAAAGAGCCGGTCCAGGAGATGGGTAGGGTAACGGCGCCGTGCAAGATTGCGGCGGAAACAGGCTGACTGGTCCGGTGCCGTAACTTGAATCCGCGTAATACGTTGCCTCTATGGAACATGGTGGAAACGGAATGCCCGCTACGTTCTTGTATGGTGGAATGGAATGATCCTCCGCGGAGGAGGCGGATGTGATCGAAGATGATGTAGACCTTCGAGATGGTAGAACCTGACTTTCCGCCCATCTGGTGTCTTGGCGACCGTTTAATTCATTGTACGGTGAATTTTGATCGTATTCCTGTTGCCTCACGACGTCGTCCTCTTTCTCCAGTACCCTGTCCATCATCTCAGCAGCCTGATCATCCTCCGATGCCGGCAATCCGATCAAATGTCTGTTCACCATTTCCATAGGATTCTCCTCGGGTATCTGTTGATCAAGGATCGTCCTTTCGTGTGGCTCTTGCTGACTATGAAGAATCGAATGTGGCTGCTGTAAAAGATACTGTTCCTGTATACTAGGTGCGTTCAAATGAGTACGAGCAACGGATTCATTTTCTTGAATAGTTTCATTAGGGAACTGATGGTTGCCATATCGATGATTCTGTGTCTCCATCAACGCGTTCAGATGTTGCACATCGCTCGGTTCGAAGCTCGGCGGAACCCATCGTTCGTCAGTTTCTGCTCGATCGAGCTTCGATCTTTCCACCAAGCTTACTTTGTTCGCCTCGCGATCCTCCTCGTAGGCCGCGTACCTATCGTTACCGCTAGAGTAACAAGTTTTCCTCTTCTCCTCTATCGTACTCTTACAACTGCTGGGACGGGCTTCATTAGTAGCTACCTCTTCTTCGGGAATCTCGATATTATTTTTTACGTTTATAATCGGTTCTACGATAGGTTCAAGAATTTTCGTTTCTTTTTCTGGTTGTTGATTCAGCGGTTGCTGTTGCAACAATGGTTGCTGAAGTTGCGGTGGTTGTGGTTGCGATGGTGGTTGAAGTTGCTGTGATGGCTGCTGGTGCTGCTGTGATTGTTGCTGTTGCTCGAACGACGCCTTCTCCATCGATGGTTCCTCTTTTTTGATTTCACCGTCTACAGGTACTGCCTCTAATTCAAACTGACTAGAATTTGATTTCTTCGAGAGTTCCATACGCAATTTCTCGACAAGATGCAGCGTTTCTCTAGCGCTATCCTCTTTCGAGTCTTCTTTGAACCACAGCTCGTTGTTGAACGAGAAGCTTAACGGCACTCCCCGTTCTTCCGCGTCTCTTGGTATACCGAATCCGTCTTCGTTTACCATCTCCTCCGTTAGCATATCTTGATCGAAATCAAATAATTCGGATACGCTCGCATCTTTACCGTGCTGTGGCGAGAAGATTGACCGATTTGCAGATTTTCGTCGTTTCTGATGCTCCTTCTCTATATTCTCAACTCTCTCCGAAACAGACTTAATATTATCATCCTCGTTGCTCTCCTTCTGAATATTCTCCTCCACCGGAACCGTTTGTTGTTCGATAATCTGTGGCTCGATATTTTGTTGCTCAAACGTGTTCTCCAAAACCTTTCCCACAGTTCTCTCCACTTTCTTCTTTCCAGCTGTAGCCTTTTCAACTTGCGGCACCTCAGCAATATCCTTCTTTATTAGTTCTTCCTCCACTTGTTCCTCCGGTTTCGGTTTCTCGATAAGTATGTCACTTTCGTTAATGTGATTCTTGCGATCCTCGCTCTTCACAATTTCCTTCATCTGTTGACACTCCTCTATGATATCCTTCTCTTCCTTCTCTTCGTCGCACACGATATTCTCGACCTTCACCTCCGAATTTTTACTCCTAGACATCTTATCGTGATGTTCACGTTTCTCTAATAATTTATCTAATCCTCTCAACGATTTCTTCGGGCTGTCTCTCTCCGCTCTACGCTGTTTCATTTCCTCTTCCAAGGTGTTGATCGCATCCTTTCCACCGAGCTTTTTAACCTTCTTCTCGTCGTTCTTCGAAGAGATCTCCGTGCACACATTCACCTTTTCCTCGTCCACAATCTTCTGTTCTTCCTCCTTATTTTCCTCCTCCTCTCTCTTCTCTATTTCTTTAACAGGCTGTTTATCGCTTAACCGTTTCTCCGGTTTCTTGCACGTCTCTTTCTTCTCATCCTTCGCGACAGATTCGTTCGGTTTTCGCTTCCTACCTTCAGATTTGGTCTTTTTATCTTCTTTTCGAGGCAAGGACTGTTGCTTAGCAGCCTGACCCGACTTTTTGGTAGGTCTGGACCCAGAAAGACTTCTTGGCCCATCATGATCTCCAGACCCAACGAGCATATCCTCATCAGCCTCCGTTCCTGCTGTTGTTGCTGTTGCTGCTGCTGTTGCTGGTGGGGGTGGTGGTGGTTGCTTTTTATTGTCTCTTTGATCCTGCTTCTTAACACTTGCTTCCGGTTGTTGTGACTGTTGTTGTTGTTGTTCTTTGGAGGTTCTACGAGATTCCTCTCTCTCAGTAGGCGGCTGAAACTCGGGTCCCCGCCGCCCGTCGGAAGTTTTAAGCTTCTTCTCGGGCAGCTTCTTGAGTTTCCGCCCTGAGACTGGTTTCCTTTCAGCTTCTTGTCTTTCCGGTGAAGTTTTGCTAGGCTGTTGCCTTCTATTCGCCGTGATCGGAGTTGCCGTGACTGTTTTGCTCTTCGATCTATTTCCAACGTCACTCTCGGAGGAAGTGGTAGAAGAAGAACCATCCATGAACTCGTCCGAATGTTTCCTACGTTCCGGATTCTCAGAATCGCTACTGCTTTCGGAGGAACTGCTACAACTGTTGCTACTACTGCTACTATCGCTGTTACTCGAAAGCACCGACTTCCGTTCGCTTGGTTTCCTAGGTCTTCTCGAACGACTATCCTTCGTATGGATTTCTTCCTTTCTCGAGGAAGATTCTTCCTTCTTCGAAGATAAGTCTTCTTTCCTAGATGAAAGATCTTCTTTTCTAGAGGACGAGGAGGAAGAAGATGAAGACGAGGACGAAGATGAAGAGGATGAAGAAGAGGACGAAGACGACGACGACGAGGAAGATGATTCTTCTTTTCGCGAAGTGAGTTCTTCTTTCCTAGAAGAATCATCCTTCCTAAGCTCTTTCCTTTTCCCAGTTTCCAGAGATTCCTTTTTCGATCTTCCATCGAGTGCTTCTTGTTCGATTTGTTGCGTAGTTTTAGTACCCATGCCACTTTTGATATGTTCCGCGGCTTTCTTCGCAGCTTGCCTCTGCGGAACGTACGCCAAAATCTCTGTTCCATCACCGAATTCTTTGTCGAAATCGTACACATCGTTATTTTTAACTTCTTTCGACAATTTGTTCTCCCTTTGCTTCTTATTTGGGCTCTTGTCTTTTGATTGTTTCGAAGAGGAACACTTTGGAACTTCCTCGACGGGAGATTTAACCACCTCTGGCGTCGACTCAGGCACCGAATTGTCTTTTTTGCCCTGTTGCGTGCGCTGCATGATTTCCGAAGCTTTCTTCGCAGCTTGCCTTTGTGGCACGATCAGAGCAGAAGGTATGTACTCTTTCTTTTTAGCGCTAGCTTTACTTTGATTTTCTTTATTCTTCGGTCCTGTATTGTGATACGTTGATTCTGCGTGTCTGGAATCTTTGCCGAAGCTTTTCTGGGAATTTTTCGACAAATTTGCCGCGGAAAACTCTTTGACGGCTGCTTTTGTGATCAACACCGCGGAATGAGATGCGTGTTCTTGAGAATCGGAATCGGTGTCTGAGTAAATGGCCGAAGCAACAAGGTGTTTCGTCGCTCCGCCTCTTAACGTTAATAGTTCGTCACTTTCACTGCCAGAAGCGCTTCCTAATTCTTTCTCCATATGTTCGAGCGTATGCGATCTACTATTCACAAGTTTTTCATTTTCACTGTTTTCCCTAAGTGTCGAATGTAACTTATCCGTAGATTGAGCAGTCTTTTTAGTCTTTCTTCGCGATAACTTAGTTTTCGTCGAAACGTTGGTTTCCTCTTCCGTACTCGACTCACTTTCTAGCTTCAGGTTCTTCGACTTCTCCGATGTTTGCGCCTTCGTCGCGTCCGTTTCACTACTACTGACAGATGATAAATCACTGCCATAGAGGTTCTTTCTTCGGACAGAGCCATTGAAGTACAATTTTTTACTAGAGGCACCATTGAAGTCCTGTTGCTGCTGTGGCTGTTGTTGTTGCTGTTGTTGTTGTTGAGTCTTCTTCTCGTCAATAGTTGGCGAGTCTATACCAGCGATTCTGGCAACGATTGAGTCAAAGTCGTGTGTGTGATCTTCCGAATCAGGATGAGAATATAACCGGTCGTATATCGAGGGTCCATGATTGGCTTCCATTACAGCAGCGGCTGCTGCTGGTGGTAAAGGTGGACCGGACATTACTAAAGCTTGCTTGTGAAAGGTTTGTTCTCGTAATCTGAGGAAAGATCGACAGAGCTTTTCTCTTCTGCCAACCATATAGCACAGGTTTCGGACCCTTTCGAGATCTTGCCGCAGTTGTACGAACGTCCTCATCTTTTCGAGATCTGCTGCTTGCCCTTGATTTCGCGATCCACTACCCGAAAGTTCCCCGCAACGTGGTGCCAATAGTGGTTTATTATGTCCAGCCTATGAAATCGAACAGAAAAAAGTTAAATGCTATTTTCATTTTAATATGAACGAAAACAAAAACAAATTATGTGTTTATTAACTTCCACATACTTCAGTAATTGATAATGAAATGTGATGGAAGTTTTACTCGGATATAAACGAGACTTGCTTAAATAAAACTTGTTACGGTAATAATAAAAGGAATATTTTAAAATAATATTGTTAGTATAATTGATTTTTTTGTAGGTTAGATTGTAATGATCTTCATAATTTTAAATGAAAAGGTCTTAGATTAATGATAAATAAGGAAAGACAGACCATTTCTGGTTCCAATCAACATGACGAATGTTCAAACGTCACTTACTCTTCTTTTCAGTTTCCAATAGTTATAAATGTAGACAATGCCGTCAGGATCCACATCCAATTGCTGCGAAGCAATATCCTTCAAACTCACATGTTTGTCAAATTCTGCTTCGATTTCTTGTAGTCTAATAACAAAAAGACCCACGTTTTTATTATAATATACGATTTAAATACAGAAATGTTTAGTACACGACAATTAGCGAATGATCATACTTTGCAGCACGTGCTTGATTTTTCTCCTCAGAAGTCATGTCCTTCCTCTTGCGTCTTCTAGATTCCGCATCTTCGGAATCCGATCCTGCTTTATCAGCTCCACTCCCTATACTCCCTCCAGTGCCTTGAACTTTATCTTTTGTATTTGTTCTACTATGTTTCTGGCAGTAGGACTGTAAATTAAATGTTTACATTTTTATCCTAAAGAGTTTCAATAAAACAAATTTTTTTCAGCTCTGGTATCACATCTTTCAAATTGTTTTCTGTACAATTTAACAAATAAATTCTATTTCCCTTTTTCGTTTACATTCCTAAAAGATATTCCATTTATTCTACAATATTCAAAATAATTCGTTATTGATTAATACCCTTAATTTTACTCCATCGTCGGCCATTTCATCCTCAATAATTGCCTTCATCTCCAAGCCATATTTGAAGGCACACGTTACGTGATAAGCTGTCTTACACGTCTTTATACTGCACTGGATACAAGCACCGACTCTTTCTCGACACAGCACGCATATTAGAGCCCATCGACTTTGCTATAATTAAAGATTATACAAATTTACAAACTTGATTTTTCTCCAATCAATGTTGAATACAACATTAATATAAATATATTATATCTACCGGAATGCTGGATATTTTAGTAATAGGTTCCATTCTTTCAACACAGCCAATGCTGACTTCTGGGATCCATAAAGCACACGAAACATGAGCCCATTTTTGACCACTACGAGTACACTTCATAGCACCACCTTTGTTAGGACAAAGAACACAATCTGGTCGTTGACTTAGAGAACAAGTTCTGCATAGCCATGAACCATCTGGTATTGAAGTAATTCCATAACATGCTTGGTGTACACATATATTGCAGCAGTCACAAAATACCATTTCATTTCCTTCCTCAGAATCAGGCTAACAAAAAAATTTTTTCTCAAATTAATTTACAATTATTGGACATGAAAATGACTGACTATGTTTTATAGAATATAACACTTACAGATCTGCAAACGTCACAGATCACATTCTCGTCATATTCAATACCAAGCCCCTCTTCATTTTTTACAATGGTTTGTATTCTTTCCCAACAACGCACTTCTAATTCTTCTATCACACGTTCTAATTGCGATTCTGTGATGGGCAATTGACCAGCCTAAAATTGTAACGCAAAAATGTAATAAAATTTTAAATAAACATCTACCTCTATATTTCCACCATAAAAGGTAAGATTTAAAGTGATGTGTACAACTTTGTCTAAATTATTAGATAATAAATATCACAAATGAAGTTCAATTTATTATAATTATTTATATTTATAAATTGGGTGATGTTCAATTTTACATGGTAATAAAGTAAAATTAAAACATTAAACAGTACTAATTGAAGGAATAATATTGTTTCATTAATTGGGAAAATTTATTATTTTTGTGCTCTATTCAAGATTCACTTAAAGAATTTTGACATAGTGGAAACTATTAAATTCCAAATATACCTGTGCACGTTCGCCATTTAACACATCCAACCAAGCAATATCAGTATCATCAAGGTCATAAGCACAAGCTTTTTCTGCTCGTGCCGGCGTTGTGCTTAAATGATGATCTTCAGGGTTGAAATAATCGTCACGAGATATCCTTACGAATTTTTTAGGTCTACAAAAACATTATTACCAAAAACAAATTAATAAAACTACTTTATAATCATATTAAAATAGTATCTTGTATTTATTATTCTACCAGTAAATGTCAATCTTTTTCTAATAAAATATGTTCCCAATATATGACATAGATTACCTTTTATATTATTCTTGAACTATTAATATCTAATTCTCCAATTATGTAGAATCATGTAGTAATGTACAAATATTAATTATTTTTTATAATATGATAATTATCACAGCAAAGTTAGCATCAATGTAATTTTGTAAGTTATAAATGATATTATAATAAGTCTTGTTAAAAGGGAGTTAATAAAAGAATTCAGCTCAATTTTAAACTTTTTTAAGCTTCTAAACCATTCTTCTAAAACACATTGAAAAGAAACAGTACTACATCGAACTTACAGTTTAAATTCACTGTGCTGCTTAATGGGTGTTGCATGAGTGATAGTAACTGTTGGTTCTGGAAGAGAGTCTGGGTTGACAGGTACTTGAACACCTCTCTCCCATTCTTGTTTCCATTGATCAGTAATGACCCAATATTCATTGGGACTTAGTGGCTCACTGTCAGGTAATTTCATTGCGCTGATCAAATCCTTACGAAATAATTCTGCAGGGGCCTCAGCAGAGGAGCGATTATATATACTAGAGATTTTGATGTCACTAAGAGGTCTGGGGGTCCAGGATGCCCCTCCTTGACTGGACGACGCCATCGTCTCCTCCTCTTCTGAGGGCCCCATGGTAGCTGCCAGCGACGACGAACCCGTCGCTGGACCCAGCCTACATTTGCGCCTTTTGATTGCGCCTGGGCAAGACGCCAAATCATTGTCGTTTCTATTTATTCGTTTGCCTCGCTGTGCCATTCTACTATACCAAGTGAGCTAGCGGTACGTGGCACGTGCAGGTGAGCCGCGCGCACCCTAAAATATTTTGTTGTAAATTGAGTAAACAATTTAAAAAAAAATAAAAAAAAAGATTTATTTAATTACTCACTACATAGTCGTCCATGTATTTATTATCTAGAAAGCGGATTCCTCTTGGAGCTGCAACAATAAAAATTTAATATAGCTTTACCCAATTTCAAACAAAAAATAACAAAAATTTCATTTATAATTAGTTTAAATAATTAACAACTTTGTCTTGACACTATATATGATTCCCTGTGCAAAATTGATTGTTTTTTGTAAATAAAGAAGTATTTGTAGAATATTATATGATTTTAATAAAAATATTACATAAAGTAAAGCTTCCATGCTTTAATACAACAATTGGAGTACGCCGAATCAAAATGAAAACAAAACAATGTATAAAATCAACAATTTATGCACTGTATCAAATAAATTAAAATTAATGACTATTCACTAACAAATAACTGAAAAAAAAACAAATCTAATAAAAGTAATACATAAACACAGCAGTAATGTACAATAGTAACTACGTAGAAAAAAAAATATATGGAATACAACCATTCAATCATATTTCATACGATGCACACTGCAACAGAGTTTGTAAAACTAATTGGAAACATATTATTACACACAAGAAAAATATAAAATATATGTAAACAACTGGTATTACACAGAGATCACAAGCGTAAGACACAAAGCATTCCTTCGCAAACTGAACTTATAAAGGTAGCACTTGAGATAAGAACTATTCGATAACACAAATTCACAATTCTAAGAATTAGCACAGAGTAAGAACTTTATATCAGAATTATAATGACGCAAACACGTTTGAGAGCATAAAAATCGGACAAAAGGACTGATGGTATAGACCGATTGTATTGCAGGGGGTCTGCGGCCGTTGATCCTCGATGGCCGCCGCGGAGAGGTTATAAATGGGGCAGTCCAGCAGGAAGAGTTATAATTCGAACGAAATCGTTTTCCCGTAACGTTATAAGGCCCTGAGTAGTTGCAAAAACACAATGATCTTCGAGAAACTGGTCGCCGTGGCGGGTGGCATGTAAACATTGCGACGGAGTTACTCCGCGGCGACGCTCGAGCGGCGCCGAGGCTCGACCGTGAAGGATCGCCGTAAGACTTTCGATGACTCGACACGAGGAAGTCGAGACTCGCGGTCGAGAATAGACGTCTAGAAGAAGATCGGGCGGAGAGTCGAAAATGCTCACGGGTCCATTGGGCTGGTGGTGCTCCTGCTGGCCGACAACATTGACAATACAGATGGCGACAGGCTCGACTCGCACACGAATCTCGACACACACGTATACACATCTGAACGCACACGCAGCCGAATTCGAATACACATGCACACGAGTGTAAGTAAATACGCACACGCGACGTGAAAACACAGGTATGCACGAACGTGAATGTATACGCACACGATGTTGGTACGAACACGCGAGCACAAGTTCGACACGCACACGCAAACATGAACACGCACGCGCGCGCAAGAGAGAGCAAGAACGAAAGAGAGAGAAAAAGATAGAGATGGTCGGAAGGCAGTAAATGCCTTATTATTGATCTATCGACGGAGAGGGTAATTTCGCGCGCGATGATGCACGTGACAAATAATAGCCGGTACGTCTGATCGTGAAGGATCGAATTATTCTTCGATCGGTAGCTCCGAGATGGCAGTAGTCCGAGTACGCCTCTGTCACGGCAGCCTAACCAAGATGTCCTCATTAGCAATTCGAGTCGCAGCCGCGACTAGCTCGGTTTTACTCACTTCGTGGGCCGAGGGCTTCTGTCGAGCTCACTCGACGCCCTCAAATAGCCTCCGTAAGGACACCCGATGGCTTTCTTCCTCGCGCGGTGCACCGAATCGATATTATATTTACATTAATGTGGATACTGCTGTTTGGCGCCATCATGCCTAAAAAAATAACTGTCTGAGCGCGGAGTCACGTGACCTCGCTACATAGCGAGATCTCGCGATTGCTTTTATCCATAGGCCACGAGGGGTTCTGGAAACAGAGCAGAATAAGAACCTGTGGAATCTTTACCACGTGCATATTTATAATAAAGCTTTTTTCTAGTTGTCTGAAATCTACAGAAGATTAACGAAGGAAACATCATTTTTTGATATAATAGAAGTGTATTTTATAAAGATAGTAGTTTAATATTTTTTGAACACCGTATTTGTACGAATTGTTTACTTTCGTATATTTTATATTTGACCTCTCTCTTTTAGCAAACAAAATAGGATGGAAGAAACATTTAAAAAATGAAAGAAGTATGTTATTGTTTATACAATTTATTCCTAAAAAGTATTCTACGCAATAAATTACTATATTATCTAGGATTTTTGTTGGCAAACTGCGTCTTACAGTGGCGTAATCATGAAGTAACTAGTAGTACTACAAATCTCAAAAACTGTATTTGGATGCTTAACTTGCTTTCTATTGACAACTGCCAATTTTTATAATAAATTGTATAACATATGTGATCTATACACTTTTTACGTCTTTTTAAATCTGTTTTTACAAAGACAGGAATTAACTATATTAATGTATACAGTCCTTATAAAGTTTTGATAAAACTTGAGTAAAATTTTACTTATTTTTATTATTTTGTTATAAAATACAAAATGTAAGATAACAGTGACTCTTATTTTGGCGTTATTTATATATTATTAAGATACATTCATATTTCCTAGCATGCAGAATTTTGCAAAAGTTTTGAAGAACATTTTTCGATCTTTCTTGCGTTTAAATGAGCATTAACATAGAAATCTAGTAATAACAGGAGCGCCTTCCCAGGGAAAAATGCTATATTTTCATTGTTTATTTTTAAAAACATTAAAAATAACTTGCGTTCCCTAATTGTTTTACAATAACTTGAAATAAACGAATTACTGAATTGGAACGGAAATTTGTCACGATATCCAGAACTTTCTCTCGTATTTCCACTGGAAAGAATATGTTTATGTTATGGAGGTTATATTTACGTTTTATATAAATTTGATTCAAAGAATAAGCTAAAACTTCCTTTGAAACTGCTTTAACGAATACTTATAGAAAATGGAACAGGTATTTTGAAGATCATTATTTTTTCCTATCATGACTGAAAATATTACGATATAATAATTTACTACCGTTTAGGATTTAAAGACGAAAATCGATCAAGCTTGTCGAACAGCTGAGGAATTTACGAAGCTTTATTACGAAAGTTTAGATAAACGCAGATATGTGAGTAATTTAAACAATATTTGAAATTGTTAATAAAATAATATAGATACAGAAAGTAAAATATTAATCAATTTACAGAACAATAGAATAAAACGATAAAGAAAGACTTTAGTGTAACTTTCAATTTTTTTTTCAGCTCATATCCAGATTATACTTGGATACTGCAACATTAATATGGAATGGAAATGGTATAGAAGGCAAAGATAACATACAGAAGTTTTGGACAGATTTGCCACCTTCAAATCATTCTGTTTTTACTTTAGATGCTCAGCCTATAACAGGTAAACAGTTATATGCAATTAACAATATAATTGAAATACCCTGAATTTTTATAGTTTCTTGTAATGGCTCATGAATTTTTATAAATAAACAAAAGAAACATTTATTGTAAATATATCATCTTTTATAATACTTCAGCAATTGCTTTAATCTTAATTTAATGTCTATTTTGATTATATTTTGCATACAAGTTAACATTGAACATTAAATTTAAGTTTGTGTACATATATTTAAATGTATTACTAGGTCCTGAGGTGGCAGATCAACTCACATTCCTTGTAAAAGTTGGAGGACAAGTAAAATATGATGATAAAGCATTAAAACCATTTAACCAAAGCTTTCTAATTGCAGCACTGGGGGATAAATGGAAAATTGTAAGCGATTGTTTTAGAGTACAAGACGTGTTAGAAAATGTAAATTAAAATACAAAATAAGAAATGTGTTTTCAAAATGTTTAAAGAACTTTTTGATTCAATATTCCTTTTTATTTCTATCGTCGGTCTTATATCAATGTATAAAGCGATATTAAAATTTTCGTATTAGTGAATCAGTACGTTGGTCGATCATTTAGGAATAACTTTACACGAGAAAGAACTAAAAATAAATATAGATATAAATACTTAGACATAAACATTACTATGATACATATCGTATAAAACATCGATTTCATATCCTTTGACGGCTCATCAACTTAAACATCCAATGATTAATAAGGTTCTGAGAAGTTCTAGATGTATAATTTTTTGAGTGAAACATATATCAACTTATAGTTCGTAATACTCCTTAATAAGGTCTATAAATATTGCCTATAATTACTTAAATTTTGAAAAACCTCACACGTATCACCTTCTATTCATATTAATTGCATTCTATTTTCTATTAGATAATACAATTAATATTTAAAACAATAAAACATATTTTCGTAATTATATAAGACAATTATGTCTATAGTATCTGTATACAGATTAAAACAGTGTTTATAATGCATGATTCTTATAATAAAACTCGAAAATAATTTTCAAATGATAGATAATTGGGCTAAAACTCTATTAAAACATTACTGAATTCAATTACTAAATTCGAAATATAATGTTATGCGTAATTCCTTGAAAATGATTATGTATTTACAGATAATATTTTATTGAATACTTCGACTTAACAAACTAAGAATTGATTAAAATTCCAGTCAGAAACCTATACATCATGAACTTCTCAAGAAGATTCGTTCGTACGATCGCTCATGTCTTTCTTTCCCTCCCACCCTCTCTCTCCCTCTCTTTCTCGCTTTTTCTTTGAAGATAATAAGATAAGTCGATCGGTGTATCACAGGTACAAACGATGCAAAAAAACAAAAGATTGGGTGATCGGACCGAAAGGAGAGAAATTCCGGTTCGTGTAACTAGCGTTGTCGATCGATGTATTCTAGTAGCCATAATGTAGGCAGTGTTACAAGAAAAAACGGCTTGACTGACGAATCGAGTGGCATTTTCATTCTCGTTGCATATTTCTTATTTTTAAGTGATCGAATAAAAAAAATTTAGACTCCGGAGACCCTCCATGGAAGACTACTAAAATAAGTTGGAAATCATATTAAATTAATATTTTTAAATGTATTAAAAGATTTTAATAAATTAAAAACTAGGCTAAAAGCACTGTTAAAATTGTAAATGCAATTTGGATTCGATCAACATACTTATTGCAACCACTTGAGCTTTAATTAATCCATTCATTCGCAATTGATTGTGAATTAGAATGTAATTACACTATAATAAAAGATTGATAAATAGAGTGAAATAAATAGTAATACTCATTTAAAACAAGTTCTTATAAAATCGTTTGTTTTTGTTTTTCTCTAAGAGTTCTTCAAAAAGTATCCGGAGTCCTTGTTTCCTATTAGCGCTCTGTGGAAGAACGTCTACGCCGTGACGCAGACAAAACAAAACGCTTCGAAATTTGATTAATTACACCCGCTGATTTACACAAATATATACAGTAAAACCTTGATGTATTCGATTGTATTCGATCATATATAAATTTGATTTTTGATTATTGTAATACTTGATCGAACTTCCGATTATTCAAATATTAAATACTTATACTAATATAATTATCATTTGCGGTTGATAAGTATTAAATTTTTGGCTGGTAAATTGTAATATATCTAAAATACACATTATAATAATACATACTTAGTATAGTTACTGCGTCAGAAATAGTTACATTAAGTATGAAAACAAAAGCAATAGAATTTTGTATGCGTATTAAGAATGAAATACATCGATAAATATATTACTTTTAAAATACGGTACAAAAAAAATAATAAATTGAACGAATTAGAAATAAAATTAAAATTGTCATCACATAAATAAGAGAATGAGGGTTGATTAATCGAAAAGTCCATCAATTTAAGAGTATTCTTCTGATTAGTTTCTCGAATCAAAGTTTTACTGTATCATTAAGCATACCTGTTATTCGACTTACTCTATACAAATACAAAAATTGTTACATCCTCTCACGCATTAAAATGGTTTACTCGCTTAAAAGTTTTCGCACTTATGATGTATAATCTAGCCTAAGACTTTGCGTACAATATTACGAAGCACGGCGCAAGAAAGTTCGATGAAAGAACACCGAGACGTTTTACTCGACAACTATAATCACCACATTTATCGTATAACGGACGAGTATAATTCACGTAGAGCTTCACTTATACAAGATACATGTTGGATCGACGTAAAAATAATCATAATTAATTTACAAAAAGAAGAACCAAGTGCCCAGTGTACAAAAAGTATTTCTTTCTGTATTCATAAGGTAAATATATGTTCTCTCGTTTCGATAAACTGCGATTACTCGTCTTTTTTCTATCAGTTTAAAACTATTATTCAAAAAATTTAAGGAACCAGAGTACATTTAACCCTTATGTACTTATTATACTCCTAGATTCACCTTGCCTTTGAGAATTCATACATTTCTTTTTGGCAAAACTCAATTCATACAAAATATAAATGAATTACATTTATGCACTATATGGTCTTTTTTCTCCATATCAAAAGAATAATACTTTTATTACAACAACATTTCTAAACTCGAACGAAAATAGCTAATCGCAGTCTATATTAAGAAATGTATTGATGGAAATCGAAATACTTCTGTTTTTTTTATTTTTTTGTATTTTTTTTTTGTAATTTAGTACTTTAATTTTAGATTTTTTCTTATTTTTCCATCAAACCGATATTTAATTGAGGCCGTGTTCGGCTTGAGGCCTTGTTCTTAAACATCCTTGGCTTCGTGCACTCTCTCCGGGAGCAAAACTTGGACTCCAAACGAGTCATCTTTAAGAAAAGTATTGCAATAGAACAGCATAACAAATTCTACACAAGGAAAATATTTTAAACGAATTCTAAATAAAATGGGGTAGGGGCCACAACATTGTTTAATACTCAGCATAAAAAATAAAAGATAAACACAAGTCCGATGTAGGACTTCGTAAGGATTTTCAAAGATGTCCAAAATCTTTTCTGACAGACTAATAAACACGAGCATTATAAATTGTGTTGGATGAAAATGAGGATGAGAACAAGGGTGGAGGCGGAAAACACGTTGTTAATTTCTCTGGTTTATCTTTGCACGGTATTGACGACATCTTTTATCGTGTTTTGGAGGTCAGTGAGAAGTCTTGTATTCTCTGCGACATTTCGAGTGCCAGCTGCACGAAGCTGACGCGCCTGAAGCTCTAACCTAGCAAGAAGTTCCCGAAACTGAAAACGCGCATGTGGTGCAATACCACTGTCTGCGAGGTTAGCGCACATTCCGTGTAACAGCCCTACCTTGTCTGAGAGCTGGATCCAACTGGTCATTACTATCGTTGAGTTACTTTTCAAATTTAATACGCTGCTCTCGATTAACGTCGAAAGCTCCAACACGATCTGTTTTGCGGTCCTTGAATCTGTGTTCTGTTTACTAAGATCATCTTCGGTGTGTTGAGACTTCGTACAGTTTGGTGTTGCATAGATTGAAGAGCCAAAGTGTTTCGTCGAAGAACACAATGGTTTTAGCGGCTTTGCTGGTACGACTGGCTTCTCTGGTTCAGGCGGTGGCCATAGTCTAGCATCACTTTTACTACCAGAACTACAAATATTGGCGATTCAAAAAGTTAACATTTAAAGATCAATAAAAAAATATATAAAACTGTATAAAAAATAATGTTATATACCTCTGACTACGAGTTGAGGCTCCACTATGATCCTCTGGTGAATCTTCTGTTTGATCAAGGGTTTCCTGTTTACCACTACATCCTCTAACACTGAGTTTTGGACTATGAGGCTGACTGTCACAGGATTCTTTATTTTCCCATAGTTTCTTTAAACTGCTGATACTACCGGTGCTTCTACGCTTATCATCTTGTTGTTCTTCTGACTCTGAGGATTGTTCAGTGACCGTACTTTTTTCCTCTAAGGATTTCTCCTTTTCCGCGTTTTCAACTTTTCGAAGCCTGGCCTTGAAATCGATTATTTGTCCGTCAGATGTCTCTTCTTTTTGCGGATTATTCCGTTTGTCTACTCTCTTCAACTTAAAACCAACATTTCCACTGGAGAGTATGGACTCAGTCCCCGGCGAGGACACGGATGAATCCTTATGAGCATTATGAATTTGATGTTGCTGATCTTGAATTGCCTCATTAGTTTTTAAAGTTGATACGGCGTATTCATTTTGAGTATGTCTATCACGGTGAAAAGAATATAGAATACACATATATGCTTTAAAAAGTAATAAAAAATATAATTAAAAATGGTTCGAACATTTACTACGCCCTGTATGACATATAAATATTAAAATTTTACATGATACAATGTAGAATTCTTAAACTTTACGTACCTCTGTCCAGAATCCATGTTAAAACTGGCACAAAGTTCCGAAAGTAGTTGTGATGCTGGATCCAGGGGTGCGGATGGAGTACTACTTGTCACTCCAGTTTTCTTCGTAGTTGTACCATGCTTCGTTTCTGCACTCTGTTTAATTTCATTTATCAGCTTCAATTCCAACATCTCTTTCATTCCAGGCTTGCGTTCAAAGCTATCAGGAAGCACATTCGCACAAACTGGTGGTGGGGGTGGCGGAGGAGGTGGTGGTGCTTCTTCTGGCGGTGCAGCGGGCTCGACTGTTTCTATCCTTGGCTTAAACCCCGTCCTTTTATTATCAGTGTTTCTACATATGTTATCTTGAGTTTCTCTGCGTCTCAGATTAACTCCAAACCTCGAACATGCTTCTTTCACGGAAGGTTCTGAGTTACTAACGTCGTTTCTGTCTTCTTGTTGTTCACTTTCGTCGTCTTTCGCACGCCAATCTGTACTTTTTGCTTTTCTTATTGACAAAGGAGAATTTCTCATTTGAGAAATTTCAGTGCAAGAAATAGGAGGTG